AATTTTTTTTTTCAAAATATAATAATAACATTTGTAAATTTTTGTTAATATGAAAGATATAAACCTATCAAAATGTATGTATAGTTAAATTGTTTATTAACTTATATCGAATGCGTAGTTTTATTAAAATTATTTGCATGTAATCATTAAATGTGTTGGATGTTGTGTAGCTATGCAATGTCCAAAATTTTAGTTGAGCGACTTTGATTTAGTGATTGTACGGTAAAAAGATATTGACTTCGATCTTGAAACCTAATAGTCTAATAAATTCTAAATAGAAAAATTAAAACAAAAGGAAATGAAAATAGTAAATGGCTTTAAATATTGAAATAAACATAACCTTTTAAATCAATTTAGCGAATTCAAGAGACAATTTTAAGGCTTTTAAAATTAAATGGGGGAAAATATATGTAAAAAGAACATTTTTAGATATATAAATGTCCATGCACTATTATAAGAGTTTTGTTAACCATTTTATAATTAAGGTAGGGATAAATCTTAGTAATATATACTCCGTATATTTTATTTATATAAAATTATCAGTATCCATACCTATATACGAAGTATTTGTGTTGTATACTATATTTAATCAGTTGTTGGTTATATATATGACTATTATATAATATATAATTTTTGGCACAATGCTTAACTTAGGAAAAATATATGTTCTGGTAGGTCAAATATAAGGTTATTATTGTGTCTATAGATTTAACAAGTGCGACGGGTAAATAAAACATGTACTTCCTCCGTTTCTTTTTACTTGCAACACAGCCTTGTGGCACGTGTTTTGAGGTCGGGTTTATGTAATGTAAACGGATAAATTATTCATTATAATTTTTACAAATGATACTTAACCCTATTCTAATCTTCGTGTAAAAATTATATTGATAAAATAGCTCGTTTACCCTCACTAATCATCTCCTAAAATTGCGTGCCTAAAAGGTGTGTTGCAAGTAAAAGAAAACGGAGGAAGTATATATTAGATTGATTGTAGCTACTGATGCGGATGGTATAATAAGAAAATTTTAGTTTTTTTCTCAACGAGAGATATAAATAAATTAGTCCGCTTCTTATATAGCTATGTGGAGTAGTATTCAATTATTTTTCAATTAATAAAATAACATTATAAAAAATTAATAGAAATTCAAATAACATAAAATACTATTCAAATAACGTTCTTTTTTTTTAACTGACCATTAGTAACCAAGACCTTTAATAGTAAATGAATTACCTTTGTTTTTATTTTTATTTTTCCTACGAGTTTAATAATTTGATTTATAAATCGTGCATCGCACGGGCACTATGCTAGTAAATAAATAAATAAATAAAATGTACATGCATTTAGATCAACTTCATCAGAAATTGGATTAGTGAAGATGGGAGGTCGTAGTAATTGAATTGAGATGATTGATAAGCATTTTCTATTGATGTGATTAGCATTATGGGCAATTGAGTAAACAAACGCCGTTTGATGATGAAAAATGTTCTTGAAAGATTTAAAAAACTTAGTTTTGGAGGTAATAACCATTTGGGGCTTGCATATAAAGGATATTATGCACTAGCATACTAGGATAAAGAAGGAAGAAAGCAAATTAAAAGTGAGAACTTAGCTTGAATCTTTGGAAAACGGAAAGGAAGAGAGGAGAGAGAAAAGTAATGTTATAATTGTGGGTGAAATTTTTTTTGCTGGAATGAAGGAGGGAAAACTTTCTTCTTTCATAGTGCCATACAATAAATAGTGTACAACGGGTTTTTTTTTAAACTTTTGTGATCCTTAAAACACAAGAATAAAAATAAAATAAAAATAAATAAATAAATAATAAAATTGCAAACTCTAGAAGAAGCATTAAGATTTCAATCAATTAACATTCAAGGCTTTTAAGGAGGCTTGGGCCTAACCTGCTGAGCCCAAATTTTCTTATAGAACAAGACTATATAATGAGAAATTTAAAAGAGAATTGTCTACAAGTATATTAGTATAAGGTAATGGACTAATGTGTATAGTATGTTGTGACGTTGTGTTGCCTAAAAAAATGTGTATTATGTTGTGAAAGAATAGAAAGATGATTATTTTTTTAAAAAGTAGTACTCATACAAAAAAGAGCAAACTTAACATACAAATTTCTAAATATTTGGTGAAACACCTTCAAACAATGTTAATTGAATAGAATGAATGTTTAATGGATATAAACAAAGCTAATTGAATCAAATTAAAGTGAAATGCATTCAAGCAAAGGTAATTGAATCAATCGGAAGAAAATCAGATTCAAATAAAAAGCTAATTGAATCAAATAGTATACGTAATACAATTGAATTCAAAGTTTCAAACAATGTCAATAAAATGAACTAGATTCAATAATTATTTGATTTGATAAATTAAACTCAACAACTTTAACACAAACATTTATAATTTGTTTTTGATAAATCTAAAAGTTTCCTAAATTCAAAATTTAAGTTTATACTTTATAAATAAGTACTCTATCCGTTTTTAAATACTTGCTCCATTTCTCCATGCGCGGAGTTTTAGGAAAAATTGGAGAAAGTAATAAAATATGGAGGTAGTGGGGTTGGTGGAAGAATTAAAAAATGTAAAAGGCAAAAGTAGTGGAGAGAATTGGAGAAGAGAGAATACATGTTGGGTCCACTAGGTGAGAGAAATTAATTAAATATTGTAAGAGCTTTCCAAAAAAGAAAATAAAATAAGTATTTAAAAACGGCCGCAAATAAAAAGTGGAGCAAGTATTAAAACGGAGGGAGTAGTATCAAAATTGTACTCCCTCAATGGACTTCACCTACCTTTAAACATAGTAGTACAATGTACTGAATGTACTTGTTGGTACCAAACAAACGATAATAGGAGTAAAGTATAAATATTTGTAACTGCTTAATTCACAAGTATAATTGTAGATCACCCCTTGCGTTATAGCAGTGTGTTGACTGCAATGAGTCTCAGGGCATGTTCTCTTACGTTGAAATTCAATTCAGTTCAACTCCTAATTTCCTTCTCTTATAAAATTTTCAGTTCAGTTCAGCTCAGTTCAGTTCAGTTCATTTCAATTCAGCTGAGTTCAGTCAATGAGAACAGGCCCTTAGTTTAGCCACTCTTGCATAACCTTCTTAGAATGATTGTTGAGTCTTACATAAACTTTTTAAGTTCTTAGAAATTGCAAATTATAATTAATGACACGTGTATAAAACTATAAATGTATAATATGAAACAGAAAGAAGAATACCATTAATAATAGTAAATCATACGGAGTAATATACTTCCTCCGTTTTCTTATACTTGCAACATTTTGACTTTTACACTATTTATGTACTCCACTTTGACGATTTATAGTTAAGAAAAAATATAGTCATGTGACATCTTATTAGATGCGTCTCGGTTTATATTTATTTTAATATCTAACATTTATAATTTTTACATATTGATAATTAAAGATATAAACGATTGAAATAATGCATCGACAAGCGTGAAAAGAGAAGTGTTGCAAATAAATAAAAACAGAGGAAGTATGAGAAGTAAATCCTAAACCATAATTTCACTCATAATACCAACATGGCCTAGTGGTAAGAATAACGGATTTAATTCCTACTAGAGCCATTACTCATGTAAGGTCTAGTTCGCAAACTTAGGGCCTGTTCATATTTACTTAATTTCAATTCACTTCAGCTCTAATCAGTTCAGTTTAGTTCAATTCAGTTTAGTTCAGCTCTAATCAGTTCAGTTTAGTTCAATTCAGTTTAGTTCAGCTCTAATCAGTTCAGTTCAGCTCCTAATTTCTCTCTCTCATAAAATATTCATTTCAGCTTAGTTCAGTTCAGCTCCAATCAGTTTAGTTTAGTTCAGCTCAGTTCAATAAATGTGAACATGCCCTTAATTGGATTGACATGTTCAATAAATGTGAACATGCCCTTAATTGGATTGACATGTGACACTTTCCATTTGATGAATTGGAATAATAATGTAAAACGTCGTCCTAAATTGACTTTTCCTACCTTGAAGGCTTGAAACATAGTAGTGCGATGTACTATATGTACCAAACAAACATCAGGAGTATAAAATAAACATGAGTATATTTTTATTGCTTAAGCTAATTAACATTCAAAATATTTGATCATCCCTTACGTCATGTCGTCATTGCAGTGCGATGACTCTAACGAGTTTTTTTTTCCTTCTTTCCACCCAATTCACTATTTGGGTTAATCCGGATTTAGGGGTTAATTCTGGATATTTAGGTTCCACTCTCCTTCTGATTGTTGTTGCAAGGAATCAGATACGGGTTCTCCTTATCAAGTGTAGTCTCAATCACCACCACACCAGCAGTCAATTAGTACGAAAATTAAGTCTTGCATAACCTTCTAGAAACTGCAAATTATTGCAACTTAAAGACATAGGCTTAAAATAGTAGCTAGCCTACATTTGCTAAGCAAGTGCATCACTTTAACTTTTGTATTATATATACAGAGTACTACTTTTGATCATATATATATATATATTATCACCAATGCTTGATTATAATTGTTTTTATAATCTATAAAATGCTGTTAGACTAGTCACAATGCATATTTTCATAATATATCATTTAATTATCAAAGACAATTAATGATCATAGACAAAGTATTTAATTATAGACCGTTCAAAAAAAAAGTATTTAATTATAGAAATTGTTATATACATCTGGGTGTGTATACCGTACACCCAACTAACCCGTTAGTTTCACTCTTCATTTGATGATTAAATGAAAAACAATTATCAAAATGAGAACAAAATACTTATGAGTGTACGGTGTATAGTGGCGGATGTAGAATATTTAAGGTGGAGGGGCACTAAATAAAAAAATTAAAATAAAATGCTTGTATAAAGACTTGAACCCAAGACTTTTAACTCAAATTCAATACACTACTACTATGACAAAGCTATTTTTTTTTATTTTTTTTTGACAACCATGGCAAAGCTAATTTGATGTTATTAATTGCATTAGAATTGTATTTAACCTATAAATTTACATCTTTTACTTAATAAAATTTTAAAAAATAAAATAATGACGGGGCCGGTGCCACTCAGGCCCCTTAATAGCGGTGCCACTGGCAGTGTACCCGGACGTATATAACACTCTCTCAGTATTTAATGTCGGAAAGAAGAATATCAATAATTAATAATAAGCCATATAATACACATTAAAAACAATTAGCAGGCTCGCAGCTATAAATACTACCAAGTGGTTCTACCATTGCTAACAAACCAAGCATCCACAATTCCATCCTTTCAAAAAAAAAAAAAATCCATAATTCCATATTAACTTAATCACTTCAGATCATTATAATATGGGTGAAGGAGTAAAAGTGTTAGGAAATAGAGGTAGTCCATATAGTAAAAGGGTAGAAATAGCCCTTAAATTAAAGGGTATCTCATATGATTACCAAGAGGAAGATCCTTATGGTAACAAAAGCCCTGAACTATTAAAGAGTAATCCAGTTTATAAGAAGATTCCTGTGTTAATACACAATGGTAAGCCAATTGCTGAGTCCCTAGTTATTTTGGAGTATATTGATGAGGTTTGGGAAGGTTATCCTATCTTGCCTAAGGATCCTTACCATAAGGCTACGGCTCGGATTTGGGCTAAATTCATCGATGATAAGGTAACTCGATCTCTTCTCAATCTTTACTACGGCGTACTCTCTTGATTTTGCCTTACTTCTTGCTTCGATCTTTGTGTCTTACATCTTAAATATTTCACTTTACTAAAGATGTCGACATCATTGCATTTGTGTCAGTTTTATATTTTCTCTTTAGTTTGAGTGTTACTTATTCACACATTTACTTTAATGTCTTTTGTGATTTATGCAATCTTGTTAGAAAAAATGTTATCAAAATATCATTTTTTTTTAAATAAATCTTTACTCGTACTAAAAATATTATCAATTAAATTTATGAGTTGGTATATTTTGACTTTTACATATATACACGTACGTGTCTTTGGCCATCTTTTATGAGTTTTAATTTAGGAAAAATGTAGTCATATATGGAATCTTGCTAGATACATCTCGATAATATACGTACTTTCAACCTCAATAATCTGTAATTTTTGTGTAATTTTTATACTAACTCCGTTTCTTTTTAGTTGACACGTAATCCTTTTTAAGAAGTTTTTTTTTAGTTGACACGTTTCCTTTTGGGGTAAATTTTTTACCTTGTATTTACAAGTTACCCCACTTGCTTTTTCATTTTCTCTCACTCTCTCTCCTCTCCTTAATATATGTGCTTAAATCAAACACGTCAACTAAATAGAAACTGGAGAAGTATTAGATAGTGGTCAAAGAAGTGCACTGGCAAATGTAAAAATCCAAGTGTTACACTAATAAAAATAGATAAAGTAATTGAAACAAGTCGTCAAATGAAAAATACGGAGGAAGTAACTTTTATTTGTACAAAATAACAAGATTTAGCACACATATAGGCTAAAGAATTACTCATCATGATAGTGAAAATTATTTTTGCAGTGCTTACCATCACTTTGGAATGCATTATGGGCGACAAATGACGAAGAACAAGAAAAAACACTCAAAGAAGCAAAAGAAAATTTAGAAATCCTTGAGAAAGAGATTAAAGGTAAGAAGTTTTTTGGAGGGGAAAATATTGGATTTGTAGACATTGTTGCAAACTATATTGGTTGTGGGTTAGTAACCATCCAAGAAAATTTTGGAAAGAACATTCTTACAAAAGAAAGTTATCCCTATTTGACCAAATGGATGGAGGAATATGTAAAGTGCAACATCATCAAGGAAAATTCGCCTTCAAAAGATAGTCTATTTGCCCTTATTAAGCTTCGTCATGAAACTCTCGAGAATTTAAAGAAGTAGATTGTGTAATAACTTCTACTTCTCTTTTGATGAGTTAATAAATGGCTAAGTTCTGTTTGTGTCAAAAAAAAAAAAAAAAACTTCTTGTTCTCTTAAAGTTCATATAACACTTTTTTTTTTCTTCTTAGAGAAAATTTTATCGTTGTTTCTCATCATTTGTATCGATTTTCTCTTGTATTGTGGGAGTTTTAAGACGTGTGTATGTACATTTTTCTTTCTTTATAATTAGGAGCAGTCTTAATTAAGTTATGATGGACTATAATCAATGTTTATTTCTCATGCTCTCTCCATTTTCTTTTGTTTGTCCCATTTAGAATTTTTTAAGACTCCAATGGAAATAAAATGTAATATTTGAACAGTTTTGCAAATATTTCAAAATAGTCATGTTTAGTCTTGTTAGGGCTTATTCTTATTTACTGAGCTGAATTGAACTGATTGGAACCGAATTGAACTGGACTGAATAGAGTTGAAATGAATTGTTTATGAGAGATGAAAATTAGAAACTGAACTAAATTGATTGGAGTTGAACTGAATTAAACTAAACTATTGGAGCTAAACTGAACTTAACTGAACTTAAATTAAGATGAAAAGAACAGACTCTTAGTTTATAGTGATTTTTAATTTTCAAATATGAAATTTTTTAGATATTTTGTATTTATTAATTATCATAAACTATTTAAATTATAATATTATATTTAAAACTGTGTAAAAACCAAGTGAGACTAACATTAAAAACAAAGTGAGTATTAATTTAGGTTATAATGTTTAAAAATAAAATAAAAAAATAATAAAAAAGAACTTTCCACCTCCTCAAAATCATGAAGTGACATATTCACTCGTAAAGTTTATATGATAGCAAGATTAACATTGCACGCGTAATCTATGTATTTATTCTAATATATATATTAAAAACTGTCCCTAATCAAGTGTATAAATCTCATGACACTCTTCTCTCAAATAAATACTCGTATTTTATTTTTGTGTTATCTTAGGGCCGGCTTAGTTACTTTATTTTTGCTGAATTAAAATTATTTTTATTTATTATCTATTATATATAATTTTTTCTTCAAAGTCACTGATTTTTACTAAATCTAAATTATTTTTACTATATATTTTTTAAAAGGTGAACTGAATAGGAACTTAATATAAAAAACTAACTCTCTCAATTAAAAAATAAAAATTGTTATTACAAGGTATTGAATATGTGATCTTTGAAATGTAAGTTAGGAAATTAACCATCATTTTAGCCAATATAACATCAATGGTAAATATTTCAAAGCGAAACTTAATAAATTCCTATGGATTTATTTTTGTAAATGATTTAGACAAGTTATTAAACCTCACTCAGTTATACACAATTACACATTCAACTCACTGAACCACAAAAGAAAAAGCAAATTATAATCCGGGCATCGTAAAAAGGATAAAATGCTCTCTGCAAAGCCAATTCTTCTGAGAGAGAAAACACCCATGGAAATAAATCTCAGCCAAATGCTATCTACTGAGGAATGAGACTTGCTTGCTCGTTCGTCTAAGAAACCAAAACGCAAAATTAATCAATTAATTGTTAACAATGTAAACAATTATGAGAAGACTATGCAGAATGGTGAAGGAATGGGGTATTTCCCTCCACTACAACACCAATCTACATCGTTTAGAGGTATGGTAGCCACAAATAGCCATGGATGTATTCAAGGAATGCAACCATTACTGGAAGAGGAGGATGAAACCTCTGATGATGATGAACCTCCAGAGGGAATTGAAGATGATCCAAAATGCCCTATAATTCTGTTATCCAAAGAAGAAAAGAAGCGCCTCAGGCAACCTTGGAAACATACCCTAATAATCAAAATGTTCAATAGCAAAATCGGGTATATGTCTTTAATCAAAATGTTCACGGACATTGGTCATGACTATTTCATCGCTCGTTTCTCTAGTATCGATGATTATAATCATGTACTCACTCAGGGTCCATCGATGCTTGATGACAATTATCTTACAATCCGTAAATGGGTGCCTAATTTTATCCCGGATGATGCTCCAATGAGGTTCCTCACAGCCTGGGTTCGCATACCAAATCTCTCTGTAGAATATTTTGACAAAGAATTCCTACAGAAAGTTGGTGGGAAGATTGGTAAGGTCATAAGAATCGACAACAATACAACAATGGCCCAATGAGGACAATTTACTAGATTAAGTGTGGAACTCGATCTTACTAAACCATTGCTCTCGAAATTCTGGCTAAAAGGGAAAGTTTGGAAGATTCAATATGAAGGCTTACGAATGATCTGCTTCAACTGTGGGAAAATTGGTCATCAAGGGGATAAATGTGAGTCCATGGCTCATACTGATGAAGAGAGTAGCTTTGTTCCAGAGACATTAATTCCTTCGAAAGCTGCGGTAATTCCTACAGTGGAGCAACATGACTACGGGTCTTGGATGTTAGTAAAAAAGCCTCCACCTAGGAAAAAACCAGCTAAACCTGATAAGGTGCAAGAAGCATCGAACAAGGATGGTCAGGCTAAGGGGGTTAATCAGGGACCAGCCGTGGCAGTCAAGGAGTCAAAGGCAGGCAAGAACGGGTCAAGATATGCGATTTTGGAGGAGCACAATGAGGATGAAAATATGGAAACAGGGGATTTGCATAACCAAAATAAGGTAGTGAATCTTGGAGATAATTCTGCTGGGGTAGAGAATGTTATCAATATTGATAATATTAATTTACCTAAGACTCCTTTTTCCATGGGGAAATCAAATCAAAATCCCAAAATTAGTGGACAATTTATGGGAAATTTGAAAAATTGGCAAGAAGTTAGGAAAAAAGATTTATCTTTGCCTACGAATATTTTAAAAGATAAATCTAATAATTTATCCTCTGGCCCCACCCATAACAAGATCTTGCAAGCTAATCTAGGCAAATAAAATAATCCAGCTGTTTATGAAGCCAACCAAGAAGTAAACACAGAAGCTATTGCCATCGAAACACAAACTGCCACCCTTAAGCTACCAAACTTATCCCAAATTTCCCCCCTTGTCACTCATGTCTCTCCCACCGCCTACCCCAATTCAACTTCGTATTCCCCCAGAGAATATACTATGCGGGAGTTTGCCAACGGAAAAACCGTATCTCTACATTCTCAAGATGGAGGTGGAGATTCATTCATGGGCGGTGTCCGGAACTGATGGTGACCTTGAGGTTACCATGGAAGGTTAAACAAGCTTTTAATAATCTATTAAGAGCTTATGCAGCCAAATTCCCTCCATCTAGTATTTTAATGAATAATACCCATCATATCATATCCAATTCCTATCCCATCACTTGTATGGTATGGTATGGTATGGAATGCTCAAGGTACTGGAAATAAAGAATTTCTCTCTGTTCTTCGAGAAATTGTTCGAATTAACAAACCCATTGTTCTTGCGCTTGTTGAAACGCACATGGGAGGAGACCATGCTGATAGAGTTGCTACTATTCTTGGGTATAATGGACATACTCGTGTCGATGCTCAAGGTTTTAGTGGAGGAATATGGGTGTATTGGAAGCCGGAACTAGTCACAGTAGATCCGATTGAGCAAGCAAACCAATATATCACAATGCAAATCACTAAGGTTGGTGAAGAACCTTGGTATTTTTCTGCAATATATACTAGCCCCGATCCTTCAAAAAGAACGGAGCTATGGGATGCACCTTTGGACTTTGCTAATAGAAACAATAAACCTTGGTTCTTAGCGGGTGATTTCAATGAAACACGCTTTGGATGGGAAAGAAATTCTAGTTGCCCTGACACCTCTAGAAGAAGTCACAAATTCAATGCCTGGGTACATGAAAATAATCTGATTGAAATTGAATTTTCCGGCCCTGCTCACACATGGGCTAGAGGAAATTCAGTAGAAACAAGGAGTGCTAGACTTGATTGTGCTCTGTGTTCGGGTGAATGGCGTATGCGTCTTGACAAAGCGCAAGTCAGACACTTACCTGCGTTACAATCTGACCATTGTCCGTTGTTTATCTCGCCAAACGGTTTTGCTCCCTTGGAAGCAATTAATCGACCCTTTCGATTTCAAGATGCTTGGCTCACTCACGAGAATTTTGGGGAGTTTATTCATAAAAAATGGGACAAATCAGCCCCATTGATGCCGCTGCTCAACTCTTTGTCATTGGAGTTGCAAAATTGGAACAAAGAAATTTTCCATAACATCTTTCGTGAGAAGCGATCTTTAATAGCAAGAATTGATGGTGTTCAGAAGAAGCTTGCGTTTGAGAGGAACTCGGGTCTGATCAAGTTGGAATCGAAGCTCCGAAGAGAACTAGACACGGTACTTAATCAAGAAGAGCTCCTTTAGTACCAGAAATCGAGAGTCGAATGGTTAAAAAACGGAGACCGCAACACTACTTTCTTCCATCTAAGCACGATCGTTCGAAGGTGGAGAAATAATGTTGTGGCTATTAAAAATAGTGACAATCAGTGGGTACATGACAAAGCTGAAGTCAAGGCACTTGTTTTTAATTATTTTGCATCGCTCTTTACAGATGAAAGCGAAGATGTGGAATATCAAATACCTTCAGGGGTGAGCACGCCTATTGCGCATGAAGATTGGTGCAAATTGGTCAGACCTTTCACTAAGAGTGATATCGACCTTGCTATTAATACAATGGGCTCTCTTAAAGCCCGGAACCCGATGGATTTCAAGCGTTGTTTTATCAGAAAAATTGGGATTTAGTGGCACCCAATGTTTATGCCATGGCCTTGGCTGCACTCGAAGGCAGGGGTTTACCGGAGTCAATCAATGAAACATTTCTTGTTCTTCTTCCGAGAACAGAGAACCTAGAAATTCCTGCCGAATTTCGTCCAATTGGACTTTGTAATGTAGCCTATAAGATCATTACTAAGGCCATAGTGAACCGAATTAAGCCCATGCTCCCCAAAATAATCGCAAATTCTCAAGAAAGTTTTGTTTTGGGTAGACAAATTACTGACAACATTGTCATATTTCAAGAAGTTCTTCATACAATGAAACGCAAGCAAGGAGGAAAAGGGTATATGACTATCAAAATCGATTTTGAGAAGGCATATGATCGCTTGAAATGGTCCTTCGTTAGAGATATTTTGCTCGATATGAATTTTCCACTCTTATTAGTTGAGGTTATAATGCAATGTGTAACCTCACCTTCAATGAGAGTTCTATGGAATGGGGAAAAATCGGATGTATTCTATCCTTCGAGAGGAATTCGTCAAGGAGATCCCCTTTCTCCATATTTGTTTGTGTTATGTATGGAACGCTTGAATCAAGTAATTGAAGAAGCTGTGTTCCTCAACAAGTGGAGTCCGATTTTTGCAAGTCGTGGAGGGCCTGCCTTGACAAATTTATTCTTTGCCGATGACTTGATTTTGTTTGCTGAAGCTTCTCCAGAACAAGTAGCTGTGGTAAAAGATTGCCTTGAAAGATTTTGCAAGGCCTCTGGACAACGAGTGAGCCTCCCAAAATCGAGAGTTTATTACTCTCGCAATGTAACCGAATCTGAGCAGTGCAATATTAATTCGATACTAGGGATGGAAAGCACAAATGATCTGGGTTTTTACTTAGGTATGCCCACTCTCACAAACCGTGCTTCAAGGGAAACTTTTTCTCACTTATGTGAGAAAATTGACCGAAGATTATCGGGATGGAAGACCAAGTACCTTTCTTTGGAAGACCGAATCACCTTAGCAAAGTTTACAATTTCAACCATGGCCAATTATTCTATTGCAAACCGCAAAAATTCCTCGGTCAGTTTGTGATGACATTGACAAAAGAACGAGAAGGTTCATTTGGGGAGGGACCGAGGAAAAAAGAAGTGTTCACCTCCTTTCATGGGACACCCTTCAATTACCTAGAGACAAAGGTGGGATAGGTATGAAGTCTGTAAGACAATCAAACTCGGCCTTCTTAACCAAACTTGGTTGGAGAGTCCTCACCGAGCCTAATTCTCTATGGGCAAGATTCTTACGCTTCAAATATTGTCATGGACGGTGTGACATTGACATGTTCACCCCATCTTCAAACATGTCAAATGTATGGAAATGTATCACAGAGAATGCTGGATGGTTGAAACAAGGCTCAAAGGTTGCAGTAGGAAATGGTCGAACCACCCTATTTTGGGACCATTGCTGGGCCTCGGATGCACCCTTAAGAGATGATGCTACTGCGATTATCCCAATCGAATTAGATGGAGCAGTTGTACAGGAGATGTGGGACAGTGACTTGGGTTGGAAGTGGGAACTGTTTGCACACCTTCTGCCGAATGCTAACTTACAACTAATAGCAGCACATAAAATCATCGAAGATCCAGAAGCAGGGGATTTGCGGTTTTGGAAGGGTTCTTCGAAGGGTAAATTTTCTATCAAAAGTGCATTGCAAATTATGAAAATCCAAGATAACATAATTAAACATCCTAAATGGAATTTGGCTTGGCATGGCAAGCTCCTGTACAACAACGGGTTCGAAGCTTCCTTTGGTTGTGTCTTCACGATAAATTACTTTGCAATATAAATCGATTCAAGAGACAACTAACTGATGATCCTTGTTGCCAAGTTTGCGATGAAAATGCTGAAGAATCAATCCTGCACATGTTGAGAGATTTCCCCAAGGCACGCAGTGTTTGGAGGAGTGTCGGTAACAATGCTCTCACCCCTTCCTTCTTCACTGGCTCATTCGAAGAATGGTTCATTCGCAATATGGACAACTCAGAAGACACTCATTCGGAAAGGTGGAAGACTTGCTTTGCAACTTCTCTCTGGTGGATTTGGAGGTGGAGAAACAACATCACCTTTGGAAGAGGAGATGCTGTTCCAACCGACACAGGAGCCTTTATTAAAGACAGAGTTGAGGAAACTTCAATGGCATTATCAGCTGATTCTATTGGTGGCAATATTCTGGGAAAAAATCCAAGACATGAAATCTTTGTGAGATGGATTGCCCCACCTCCCAATTGGTTCGCACTAAACACCGATGGAGCAGCTAAGGGATCTCCAGGACAAGCTGGGGGAGGAGGGGTAATTCTTGATGCTGCTGGTCAATTTATACAAGGATTTACAACCAGATTTGGGGTATGTAATTCCTACAGGACTGAACTGTTGGCGCTAGAAATTGGACTTCATATGGCAGTTGACAGAGGCATTGACAAGCTAGTTCTGCAAATGGATAACCAGGCATGCATTGAAGCAATCAAGGAAGCAAAACATCAAGGAGGCGAGTGTTATCACGTCTTGAACAATTGTCGTAATCTTTTAAAATATTTTTGTAATGTAGTAGTTAATCACTGTTTTAGGGAGGGAAATAAAGTGGCCGATCGTCTGGCTAATCTAGGGGTGGTCCTTGAAGAGAAAGTAACTTATCTCGATGGTCCTCCAATCGAAATAAGGACCTTACTCTGGGAGGACTTAGTCGGGGTTACCTCACCTCGTTTTGTTAAATAGTTTTTCTCTTTTGTTTGTGTGTTTCGGGTTTTACCCTCTTCAACATCAAAAAAAAAAAAAAAAACCTCACTCAGTTATATAGCAATAATAAATGTATTATAGACATCTTATCTTAATCCAACTCATTATTGTTGGTAAGCTACATATATATTTTTTGATTCAAAGGTAAGCTATATATTGATTTCATTCCCAAACTTTTTAAGTTTTTAGTTTCAAATATCAAACAGTACCTAACAGTCTAACACTTCATTACACTAAGGATTCGTTTGGCATCACTGTGGTTTTCTATTTTTTGGTTTTAAATCATATGATATATATCATGTAATGAATAAAAAATTAGTCAAATTTATTAAAATTATGATAATTTTGAAAACCGACAACTGAAAAGTGAAAACACCTTTTTCTTGTTTCCTGTTTTTGGTTTTTAGTTTTAAAAAAAAAAACAGAAAACTGAAAACAAAAAACAATGCCAAACAAGCCCTAAAGTTTTCGAAAAGCAATATCTCGAGACATAGCCTGGGACGGGAACTAGTTAGAGATACTCCCTCCGTTTTTAAATACATGCTTCACTTTTCATTTGCGGCCGTTTTTAAATACTTGCTCCATTTTCTTATTTAGAAATCTTTTACAATAGTTAGAGACCCAATATGTATTCTCTCTCCTATACTTTTGTTTTATATATTATTTTGTTCTTCCACCAATCCCACTACATCCATGTTTTATTATTTTCTCCAATTTCTCCTAAAACTCCGCGCATGGAGAAATGGAGCAAGTATTTTAAAACGGAGGGAGTATTAGTAACATTAAGGAATGAGTATGTTTCAATGTGCATAAGTAATTTTAATATATGATCATGATTAAGGGTCTGTTCACATTTACTTAATTTCAGTTCAGTTCAGCTCCAATCAGTTCAGTTCAGTTCAATTCGGGTTCCAATCAGTTCAGGTCGGGTCAGTTCAGTTCAGCTCCTAATTTCCATCTCTCATAAAATATTCATTTCAGCTCAGTTTAGCTACAATCAGTTCAGTTCAGCTCAGTTTAGTAAATGTGAACAGGCCCTAAGTACTCCATCTGTTTTATAATGTCAATCCCATATAGTTACAATCACATAAAATAAAAAAAGAAATATATTTAGAAACTAGCATTAAAGTACAACATAATTCATAATTAGTTTACCTTTATTTAACTTTTTTGATTTTTTATTAGGAAATCACAAGTCATAATTGCATTTTTTTAAGGTAAAGATTTCCTTACTTGGATTCATGTCATCAATCTACAACCAATTAATTTCAAAAAAATCAAGTTAAAAATGAAATATACTTCCTCCGTTTTTATTTAGGGACGCGTTTAATTTAGGCACATATATTAAGGAGAGGAGAGAGCAAAAAAAACAAGTGTGGTAGCTTATAAATGCAAGGTAAAAAATTTACCCTAAAAGGAACGTGTCAACTAAAAAAAACTTATTAAAAAGAAACGGAGGTAGTATTTAATATGGTTAGATCTTTTTGAAACGCCGAAAATATTATATGAGACTAACATTAAGAAACCGAGAGAGTATTACTTATAGACGTTAGGGAGTTTGGGACATGATATAATTAAAGAGTAAACTTTATCCATTATTTATTTACTTTTAGTAACTGTATGATATTATTTGAAGGTGTAACATTTACATCAATTAATATAGAGATCTAATGCTAATCAAATTGTGGGATGGAGAGGTTTAACAAAAGAATGAGTAGAAAAATAGAAGTCATCTACGGCCATTTTGGATAAGAGAGAGTGGGAGAATATGAACGTTTAGGAAGTATTCAAATTGAATTTAGCAAATTGATCAACGAAATATTTGTATATTTGCGTTAGACCATGTTATCTATAGCTTTAATCAGT